CTTGGATACAACAAACAAAAACAAGAATGATCGAGCACAATTCGATAAAATTTCAGCAAAAAGGTCCAGATGATAATAACTTGGTGATTAAATTAGAAACAATAATAATGTCACGAATTTATAAAGTTTAATCACTTAAACAGCACATTGACAAAACATGTTTATTCCGCCAAACTGCTTAAAACTGCTAAGCAGTTTGAATAAAATTGGCAGACAGAGCTCCTTTAGCATATAACATTGTACTTTTCAGATAGTTCTACATATACGGCATGCACAATACGGATGACGACTGGGTAAAAAATAAATCTTTTTAGTCCGTCGGTCAGATAATAGAAAAATATTAGTTACGTTATTTTTTGCTTCAATTTAAACAAGAAATGGCTTAGATAATAGTCATTAAAGTTGAGAAGTGGGGACTCGCTACGTCACAGTTTTGTAGAAAAAGTACAAAAGCGTGACTTCATGCGATATTTCAACTCAATGTATTGCCGCAATTTAATAATTACGCAAAAAATAAAAAATAGCTATTTCATTTTCTTCAATAATCTTGATAGAAATCCTGACGAACAGACAAACAAAAAGAACTTGTCATCCCTATTGATCAACTATAACAACTACTATATTTCGCATTTTACTAATCAACATCAGTTGGTTACTCAATAATAGTTATTTATACATTGCTTTTATTGTATAAAAATTTAATGACCCAAGTATGTAATGCTTACAAGTAGGTAATCCACACACATTTCCCATGTACTTACATAATTATGCAAAATTACACTTTTTGTTATTATTGTTGTAAGACATTTCTCTTCTGTTTCTTTTAGCTTAAGTCTGGCAGATTTGGAAGAAAGACTTGTCTGTGATCCCTCTTATACAGAGGAGTTGACGACGCTCGCTACAAATCATAGGGCAAACTACAAAGGTTGCTTTCCAATCAATGGGTACTATTCTCAACTGCGCAACACGTTATTATCATTTGGTCACTTTATTGAAGTGTCCATATTTCCTTATTTGATATCAGAGATAAGGCACGAACGAACCCGATGTGTCGTGTGGTGTTAACATTCACGCTAACTACATACAGGTACTTATATGGGAAACACGTGTTGTTTTGATAAATGTTACGTAAGTGATTTTAATATATATCTAAACAACTGGATTAAGGTGAACGTTACAATCGGACATCGATAGCTCTAAATAATGGATAACTAAATATCCATTTATTTCTTATTATTGAATTTACATATAATTAAATTCAATAATGTGAAATCCAGCTTCCTTCAACAGGTATCACCGGAAAAACTAGTATCAAACAAGAATAGGAATCTCTATAGTTATTTTCGTTCGTCTATAGTTATTTTATCCACATTATTTCCCTACTATATTGGTAATTCTCATTGTGCCGGCTTGGCTATATCATTTTCCACTTGTCATTTTAACTTCAAATATTATTGCTAATTAAAAGTTACGCACGCAGTTTCGTCCTGTGTGTTTCTAAGGTTTCACAATCTTACGTAAAAACCATATTTAGACTTCATTAGATGCGCGTATACACGACGAACATACCTCCAAGTTAAGTCTACTAGTTGTTTAATTAAGATATTTGGTGTCAAATCCACAGAAATAAATAAATACAGATAATTTATTTAATAAATAAATATTAGACAACAACACTTAAATTTAAAATCCCGAATTAAGTTGCGAAAGCACTTGCATTATGCAAAGCTGAAACGAAAGTAGTATGTGAGACAATATAAATATGTATATATATAGGCCCGAGGGGCCACAAAGATAGCGACACCTAGAAACCGGCTAGGGCATCACTCGACTCCTCTAATTCGTAGATATACGTAATTGGTTTTGTAAAATTTAGAAAAAGAAAGTGTTAAAATTACTGTTGAATAAAACATTTGAGTAACAAGAAAAAGTTTGTTGTTGTCAATGTGTTTTAAGTATAAAAAAAAAACAATCCTTTTTGAACCTTTCTTAGCGCTTCTTCTTGAGCCAAAGTCCTCGCTCGAGCAACTGAATGTCATAACTTTCTAATTTCACAATTGCTTATCCAACTAAACCAACAATATGTCGTTTATCTTATGATCTGGTTTTCTTTGAAACCGAATATTTAAGCAGCAAGGTAAATCCCAAATCAATTTATTAAAATTGAAAATCCCAAACATGCCGTGCTTAATCATGATTAAGTTTGTGACGTCAGTCGAATGTATTCCGTAAACCAATAAATGCATTTTCCATTCAAGGCTTTGCTATTTTCAATTTAAAGAATAACTAATACATCTTAATGTAAACGGTATCTTCCCTCGATTTTCCGTGAATATGTTATCTGAGATACTTATTTTGTGGTTAACAACGTAGAACTATAAAATTCCATGCAATAAATAAGATTTTGACTCGTGTGTATTCCACGTATTTCATTTGAAATTGATGATTTGATTGATTTGATGATACACATCCAAAATAATATTTTGAAGAATGTAAAAGCTTGGTTAGACCGTAGACCAAGACACACCTTCCATGATCAAACTCATCGATTCCATTTTATTGAATTTTGATTTAAGAAGGCATAAAACCAGCTGTCAGGCAAGCTAAAGAAAGCAGTTTTCTCTACCAAATTTCGTCATGAGTTAGATGATTTTTTGTAGACATCGGATTTTGTGTAAAAGAGTTTTTGTATACTTATTTAAACTTATTACAGGGACATTACAAAATAAGCCACAGCGAAGTGTTTGAGGGTTAACTCATGTCATATGTTTTACGCAGTTAATATTTGAGTACTTTGACAGTTACGCAAATATATCACACCTGCAATTGCTGACCATGTTTATATCTAAATACACATAATATGTACACTGACCTAGGATTATGCCAACAACAAGTTTATCAATAATAAATTATCAATTAATACGGAAATGGACTGAGAGGTATTGATAATATTTATGAAAATTTACTACGTAGGTATAATAATAGTGCTTTACGGTTTTAATTATTATTATTTTTACAAAACTTTTGCATGCTATTTATAGCCAAATGTACCCGGCCTACTCTTTTAATGATATCGTAATTATATACTGCAGGTCTAGCATATAAATGTTATGCGATTCGATTTGTTATGTTTTGTGTTATGGTCAGCTTAGCTCTCTATCTAGAAATAATAAAGAAGATAAATTACGCAAGCTAATAGTACAAAGAATATAGAACAATAAAACTATATTCTCTGAAACTATTGGTCCGATTTAAAAATTCTTTCAGCTACAGAAAGCTGCTTGGTACACGGTTGAGAAAGGCTATGTATAATTTACATAAGAGAAGTCGCTAGAAAACAGCGAATAAATAATAAAAGTGACAAAGGTCATAAAAATTAAATTTAAAAACTTATCTTAAGGAGCTGGCAAAGCTGTCAACAATATTTTGTTATTTTTTTTTATTTTATACGATACGAGAACTCTGAGGCCGTGTGTGTGGCTGTGTGTCAAAGTGTCATAATTTCTAAATATCAGGATTCGTTTCTCTGTCTGGTCAATATATTTGCAACACGGTGCTACTTTAGTTTTATATTCTTAATTTTGATTCTAAGCAGGGTTCGCAAAAATCTAATGTTGATAATATATATCAAAATATCCGAGATTTGACATTTTTCCGATATATATCATGCATATGAAAAGCAGCGATTATTGAGCTGCCAGTGGCTTTATTTAATATTTGATCTATTAAATTAAAAGTGTAAAATAAAAATTGAGTTTGAGTTATTTAATATTTGTGTATTTGTTATGAAATAATTAAAAAGTAGTATGAGAACGAGGATTTACAGTATCGTATAGGGGAAAATCCGACATTTCTAGTAAGTAAGATTGCTACTTCATACCAATGTTACTAGCGTCACATTGGATTCGTTAATCTTCTAGCTGAGACTGAATACTCAATACTCAAGTGATATATATCGATGTATATATCGATCGATAAGTATATATTAAGATATATATCATGATATATATCCGTTGATATTTATCAGCGCACCCTGATTCAAAGCAATGTATTGTAATATATATTATCATTACATCATTTAATACAACAATCAGTAAATTTTACTGAAATTTGTAATATATGTGGCGGTTCTATTATATTTAAACACATATGAGTTTCATTTTCAGCTTAAAGACTGGCGATTTTAATACACAAACAAATGGCTAAATAACAACTATTTCAATGGCTTAGCGTACAAATTCCTGCTTTGATTCCGAAGAACTAGAGATAATAAATGGCCATATAATGAACAACCCTTGCAAATATGTTGCTTAACTTAGCAAATCGAACGTGCTAACTTATTGCGTCTTACCTCTCACAAATTGCATTCTCTAATACACTTCGCATAGATCAAACTAAGAGTTAACTAAAGGTACTCGTAAAAATATATACACTCACATTTTTTGAAACAAATCTATAGCACCATCAAGCATGCAAACTTGGTTTATTTTAATTCAAAAAACACTGAGAAGATTCTCCATAAAATAGCACATTGCCAACTTTTATTTGGGTTGTAAAATATCTGATGGTCCATTTATGACGATCCTATCGCAGGCACAGCACACGCGTACCTTAAACCGTTCTCATGAAAACATTTTATGTATTAAAATACAGTTTTATTAACGTAAATACCTTTCTATGGAGCTCTAACATATATCATAAATTTTCACTAAGACTTAAATTGTTTTCAAGTCTTATTAAATCATTCTCACAGCATTTTTAAATCACAAATTTTACATGTTTGTCGACGGTTATGATGAATGCTATTATGAGTCGTCTATAAAAATTTAAATCCATTTCGTGGAATTGATCATATTACACTGATTAACAATTTAATATAGTAAAAAAACATTACACACATCATCCCTACACGGACGCCCCCGTAGTTTCATCAGTAAGAACCGTAAGAATATGAAATAAGTTTCCTCCAGGCGTTATCAGAAGGCGCCGGCGCAGCCACAGTGGAGGGGATACGATTTGCTATACTTATATACGTGAAGGCGTACGCCACGTTCAATACGACGCGATCACCGTACGTGCGACAACGTTATAACCATTACCATTTAAAATGTGTAAAGTGTGTAACACACAGTATACTTTGATGGAAGCGCCACCGGTGCCGGCGCCCGCGCTCAAATCAACCAAACATTTAGAAAGGTTAAAGCAGAAACACAACATTGTGACCGATCCCAACAATGAAGAGAAGCAGAAGGAGGTGGAATACCAGCCGGACTTGCTCGCTGTGTCCACGCAATACACAAAACTTGGATACGACCTGATGAAATCTGCTATGGTTCGTCTGCAAGAGACTAAAGCGTTCGTGTAAGTGAATTTCCTTTTTTTTTCAATCGTGAAATTGTTGTGATCCAGTTTTAAACAGTCTTGTATTCGTTGCCAATGAACCCGTATCATCATTATGTTTTGCGCAAACAATTAATATTTTATCTTTGATAAATGAACAAGTATTTTTTTGTATAATGCTTTAATTTATTAACTACAGTTTCTAATAATTGAAATGCTAATTGAATTTTAAAGTAAACAAATTTTTCTCATAATGGAAGCGTGAAAGCACGTGCATCACGGATAATTTCGAGCGATTTCGTCCAAGTCACGTGTAAGAGAAATATGTTCTAATCAGCAGCACGTATTCTGGAAACTCCATTCCCTTTTGTGCACTAGACGCGTGGTTTATTTGGGCGAAATTTTTAGTTCAAGTTTAGTGTGAACTATTCAATGAGTTCATTTTCATTTGTATTTTGTTTCTCAAGAGAACAGTCGCGTGTCGTTAGCTCCGGATATAGATCTAGATCTCTCCCAACAACAGTTCGGGCGCGAGGTCGGTCCGTCTATCGCTAATCAATTTTACGCACAAATTGATTGAAAGGAAACCGTTTACCTGTATTGGGCCTTGATTGTTTTTATTGTAAAACTTTACTCCAAGAAATTATTTATACCATTGGAATTTTAAATTTTATAAGACAATACCGCCAAGAGCTTTTAAAACATCGAGTGCAAAAATATGTATGTTTAAGTTATAAGCCCTAATTTCCTACCGGTCAGTGGACAGAACTACAATCGAAATATATTATAGTATGTTTCCGACTTTCAAACAAGTGGACTTTCTATATGGCACTTTATTAAGAAATATCCTTTTGATAAGTTCACGTTCACCAAACCGCGTCACTGTTTTGTACACTGTCTGCTACATTGAAAATGTGAAGGGTGTAAAGATCATTGCGAGTTGATAAATATAGATACTATATAATTATTCTAACATAGCTGTATTCCCGCGACTACACCCGCGTAAATTATAGCATATGCACGGAACGTACGTAGCATATGCACATATTGTACGGAAAAGACTTATTAAAATCGAGCAGCACTAGTTTCAGAGCCTAAAATACTAATAAAGACCAAAAATTCTTTATTAGTATTTTAACATTATTGAATGGTAAATCGTAGAAAAAATACAGTATTTTCAGATGGTTGTATTAATTCATCTCGAATTTTACGCAGTAAAATTTTCTAATCTTAAACAAAGAAGGGGGCGTGGCGAAAATACTTTATCAACTTTATATAACCCAACGACGATACTTGACTAAAACTACGATAATAATATCCGTTTGACATCTATTGCTGTGGAAAAAAACTTTTCTATTTGTCTAAAGCTATTAAGCAGATTCATAGTTGGTTATTTTCTAAAACTACCTTAGAAATAGACACTTGTAATAACCAAAAACTGAACACTTAAAATAACTTGTCAGCAATATTGAGTAATATCTATACATATAGTATAAAAAGGAGAAAATTGTTTGATTGTATCGAATAGACTATGAAGCTACTGGACCGATTTTAAAAATTCTTTCACCTAAGGGGAAACTACATCATACGGGAGTGACATAAGCTAAGTATTATTTACGCGGGTGAAGTTGCAGGATCAGTTAATTATTTACAGAACTGGGTTTGCAAAACTTAAAACAACAACAATCTCATCTAATACTAACTTAAGATATCAAATAATCGTTCTTTATTTTAATAAAACGGTCAAATCCTCTTTCTAGTTCGGATTGAAATTATCAGGAAAATTTTATTCGCCTAAAATAACATTGTTTTTGTTTGTGCAAACAAAATATATATTATTAATAATCAGAATCAGGGTGTTTCTAGTTATTACTAAAAACAAAGCGTTTAAAACGAACAGGATATATTATTTTGGTTGCATGCGGAAGCGTTTCAATTTCAAATGTCTATCTTTCCGGTACAATACCGGGTTAGTATTGGAATCCGCCCAAAAGTGATTGTCACCTGCGTGGGGGACTATTCCCACCTCAGTATACGTATTGTTTTCAATACCAATGATCTTGTTATCATAACACAGTTTTAAGGTACGCAATCAAAGAAAAATGAATTTGGTGCTATGTATATAGCGTTGTATTTTATTAGTGCGATAAAGGTGGGTGGTCAACTGTTAGAATTTAAATCATATCAGAAAATTTACACTTATATAATATTGTATTCGACGAGAAGAGAAATAATCACAGATTTATTTTATCGATTTTACAAACAGCTGCACTTCAGGTTACCTAGTATTAAAAATATTTTCAGTTCATTTGAAACTCTACCGCAAAATATTAAGGTGGATAAATTTGAGAGATTTATATAAATTAACGTGCTGTTGACTGTACATACGTTTGATTGTTATATACTCAGATACTGTTGTAATGTACTTATTAATTCGCGTCCGCGATAAAATTTATATATAAATTACTATGAAATTAAAATAAATGACATGAAAATCAAATGAATCGATATTTTTAAATTATATTTGCATTTTAGGGAAATTAAATAGCTGTAACAAATGTATTTATATGATATAAACTTTGCTAACAGAGTGCTCACGTTGTATTTAGGTGAAATAATGTCTTTCGGATGTACAGATATTAAAAGAAAAATATGTTTTTTATAAATTAAGTAATTATTTTGCATTGATATTACTTTTATATATCATAAAATAGACATGAAAGATTATGAAAGAATTACAAATTACAGTTACAATAATAATGATGCAACTTCTAATCATATGTACAAAGTTACAATGTCTCAAAATGGCCTCAGAACATTCTAGAAACTCTATTGTCTGTATCGGTCGTCAACACGGTACAGCCGCCTTATACAGCGCTCAATCATTATTATCAACAACTCAATAAGATTTACGAGATCTCTGTCACACCGATCACGAGAAACACTCACAAATTCTAGAACAGCGACTCTCAAACCGTGGGATGGGCCCTTTAAAAAACCCAATATTTATACGCAATCATTTTATTAACAAATAAATTAAATAGGCTAATTATTTCATTGTGGTACCTTAGTACGTTGTTTCAGGTTTCCATGACAACATTTCTTAAAAAACTTGTCAAAGTATGTTGTCTAATATTTGTACATATATTTCACTCAGATCGTCTATACTAATATTATAAAGAGGAAAGATTTGATTGTTTGTTTGCATCAAATAAGCTCCAAACCGACAGGACCGATTTAAAAAAATTATTTCTCCTACGGGTAGCTACATCATGGCAGGGTGACATATTGGACTATAATTTACGCCAACGAAGTTGCGGGAAAACAGCCTGCGGCCAATATTTTCGTGGAACCTCTACATAGGCATCCTGACAGCGATTGCTGAATGCCCAATACAAAGACATTGGATGGAGCTGGCTTTAGGCTTAAGATGTTAATTTTCTAACCGTACTAACATAGAATAAGATCTCATTGTTTCTAACTTCCGACTAACAACTTATGGACATCTGTCAAAGTCTGAAATAAAGTGCTATTATAACTATTATTTGCGGAGACAGAGGTTCCGCGGATCACAATTTGAGAAACCTTGTTCTAGAAAATACCACTCTATATTTAATTTCAGTCCTTAATAACTGTATATAAACTTATTTATTTTACAATTAGTCACGTTTGCGTGCTTCTGTTTTGCGCCAGAAATATTTTAAACATATTCAGCGCAGGAGCTGAAAATCTTATTGTATCTTTCACTAATATAATTGAAAATATTTTGGATATCAAAAAACAAACACATGAGAAAATGTATCATCAGCATTCTAATAAATTATATTAAACTACCATTAAGTAAATGTAAACATTAACAATAGATAAAACGTAATATGCTAACAATATTATCTGCAACCTAATAAACAACAGATTAAACAATTCATATATTCAGATTATCACTTAATAAAGAAAAATATGTCAAATACTATTCATAATATTCTCCTTTTGTTTTTAAACGAACAAAAAAAATACGGTAATCCATTTTTTTATCTTTGTTTTTTGTTATGATTTTCAACTCTTAACCTCAATATATTAAGATCTAAAATCAAGTAAAGAAATTTGATAGATTTCTATAACCTGATATAATGTTAACTGTACCTTAAAATGTTTGCTTTATCAACCTTTGAATGGTGTTCATTGTACGTAAGATTAATAAAATAAAGCCCTTCAGATTTCATTCAATAAAAATTGTGTAATCATATGATATATATCACATGACGAAAAATATCAGATATTATATTATCATGATATATGAGATGCATACTGCGTCATGTCTATTTTAAGAACCAACATATATATGATTAGAAAATTCTGTCACATGCTTCGAAACAACAAACTAGTATTATGAAATATTTAAAAAAAAAACTCAGAAGCTCTGGCCCTTATAACCTCTAGTAATCCAGTTGACTAACGTTGTCGAATTTTAAGTATTTTTCTTTAAATATCAATTCAAACTGGATAAAACATATCAATGTAAAATATATTAAGATATGTATTCTTAAAGATACCAGTTATTATCTGCCAACAACTGCTCAACATTCAACCGACAACCATCGAGTAAATAAGTAAAACTTACAGTAAAGCTGCCTACATAAGTATTTATCCACATTCAACGCCCGCCCGCATTAACTACACGCTCACAATATAGAGTAACTGTTAATTTATTGTCACCAAAATAAAAGAGAAAGAATACCATTTTGAACTTAACTAATTGTTTTTTAGTGGTCTAGTTTAAAAAGTCTCTATTTAAACCGTTTTATATTTATCAGTGCTAATAGTGAAACTTAAAAAGCCAGACATAATTAAAAAAAAACTCAAAACAACATCTTTAAATACACAAGCAATTAGTCACTCGGCATTACTTGGAGGAGATTCAACAAATTCAAAACTCATACAGTTACATAACTGAAAACATAAGCAAAAATAATTGAAAAGCAAGCGTGCATGTCAACTAGTTGGCATTGTAAGCTAAACCCGAA